CACGTGGGGCACCATGGGCAACGTATACTCATACGGCAAAGAAGTCTCTTAACCGGCAGCTGACTTCTGACTTCAATCTACCATAACCCCACTGTATGTCATATTCGACTACTTTCACAGTACTCACCTCACTATTTCTCTACCTTTGTGTCTGCCTGTCTGTCTCTATGACATCTGTGAATCACTCCTCTATTCCCCCTCCCGATTTTTTATCACTTTGATTTTCCTCCCTCTGTGAATCCCGAAGTCAGCTAAATGGCTAATGATAAATATTCAAAACGCCTACCATTTGAAGTAATAATAATAGTATTGACTAATTCCTACTTACTCATTATGGCTGGAAATAGTAAGTCTGGCATTCTTCAACGAGCAAAATTCTCACTCCTTTACTGGATATGTGAACTTTGTTCTTAATTACCATATTAATATTAATCAGGCAAACTTATTACGTATCAGTGGCTTGTTGGTCGGAGTTATCTTATTGCCATTGAATACACATACTCAATGGGAGATACTATCCTCTTCTGCCTGCAATAATTAATAACCGAAAGTGTATTCCATTTACCAGAGGCATTGATATTCCGCCTCCGAAGTAGACCATGCAAGACATTTGCCTTTGCTTGCTATTGACGGTAACTTTAATTCAAATCACACAAAGTGAAATGCTCTTTTCAAGGGATTATTGAAGGAAAAAAATCACTTGGCATGATTTTGACCTTTATAAAAACTCCAATTGACTAAGTAATCACTTGCATCGAAATGCTTTCCTTATACTTGTGTCACCAAGACCATTGCAATTAATTAATGCTCAGATTAAATGAAGGCCAAAAGTCCACGCCGAATAGTATGAGGATTGATTAGTGTCATGCCCTTATTTCATTTCCAAATGAATCGAAAAAAGGGCAGGTGTTGAAAGAGGTTTTATGAAGGCCATTAATCTAATTCACACTTCTGAATCTGATGTGCCATTGAGACTTGCAACTATTTGACACCTCTCGAGTTGGTAGTTATGGATCATCAAGTGGTTATATATTGTTCCATTTCAATGCGCACCGTTACATGAAAAATGCTCCAAACGAAAGTTCTTGAGGTTATTTCACACCAATAGATGGTAATTAATTTACGTCAATATTTTCAGCAGATTAATATGCTTGAGAAGACGATATGTTGTCTTTGACGACGTTCTCTGTAACTCTCTATCAGAATTGTTAAGGCAAGAAAATTGATCCCTCATATCTTATCGTAAATCAAGGAGTTTGCAATTAAACAGGCGTACCTCTATGATTCAACAGGAAGTAAGTAAAGTCGTGATGTAAGTCAACGTTTCAAGTAAAATTACGATCTCACTTTTATCTCCATGATAATTTACTTTGAATGGTTTTATACTATTTTGGATTCTCAAGCGACCTCTAAATCCCATACTGCATTTTACACCTGAATTGGATTGTAATTTACTAAAGCTAGAGTGCGGTAATTATTAATTCATAATAATGTATTCGTTGTTGCGCCTTATAAGTACTCTTTATGGATAGATGGAATTTATTTTTCAATTCACCTGTATACAGTTTTACTTGAATCAGCTACTTAAATTGACATTGTTCACCTAATTAAGGAACGTTTAAAAAACAGTAGGGTTTTGTGCATTGGTGTGATTCATTCAAACTCATTGCTTTCATTACCCGTTTCACCCCACTGAAATGAGTGATAGACACAACAGGAGAAAATTTTATGCTTTGCACACCAATGTAAGTGAGTAAATGACTCAGCAATTAAGGTGGTTAACCTCGTTTATAGCGTATGCGTTTATGTACTTCGAGCTGTGATAAATCAATTAATACCTCTTTTCAGGTCGATCATCCTCGAGATCGTCCTCAGCCAATCAACAGCATGTTTGCATTAGTGTGAATATGTAGTATGAGATAACTTTTCGCTGATTCTCGCAAAGCAGTTTTGTGAGATTTATTGAGCGAGTTGTTTAAAGAAATCAGAAACTAGATCTTACGAAATGGTAGGTTTACGGGTTGTATAGCGCTGATATAAGCTAGGAGCGCTAAGAGACCGTAGATAAAATATGACAATTATATTGGGGAATCTTTAATTATAGGCAATCATATTTGTAATAAATGGTTATAAAGTGAAAATTTAGCTATTTACCCAGGGTCGCAGCGGAGAATTTTCTAAAAATGAAATTCCCAAGTCAACCCGTCTTTGTTGAATATAAATGCCTGTTGAAATAGTAGTTAACTTATTCAGATATGTGCTAAAATAATCTAGAAGCCCACCCGACACTGGTTACACTGGTTAGGGTTATCTATAACCAGTTACAAATACCCAGTAGTGGTTTCTAGGTCGATGTAGACAATATGGTATCCTTGCGAGTTGACTGGGTGCTGTGTCCCAAAAGTTATAGCAAATTCTATTTACTTATTGCACTATGTTTACCCGATATAGTTGAGGTGGCCACTTTATACTTGGGGGTTTTATCAAAGAAGATTGATATGAAATGGTAAAGTTTTATTTTGATTCGGGAATCCCTAGATTAAATGGCTACTCCACTGAGTGTACAATTACATAGGTTACCATGAGGATTACGGATCAAAAGTTAGGTGGGTTTCTGCTAGAACTGTACAAAAGTTGATGGATTGTGAATTCAGAACGTTCAGTTAAGAATGAAAGTTGAATCAGTGGTTATAAATGTCACATGCCAGGTAAGGTTGCAATCATAGCAGAGTTTAATGTTGTCTGGTTATTCGAAGTTAAAATAAAGTACCCGAATATTTGTTTAATTAAGAGAGAATAGACGAGTGATGTAATATATGGAAGAGATTAAGAATTCGGAAAAATTTATCTGAGCGAACCGCGTGCATTCGCATCAGTTGTGTGAAAGACTAAATGCAAGATGATACTTCCAAAATGCAGACACATTTTACAGCGATCCTGCAAGATATTGGATGTTCAAATCAATTTCATGCGAATTAATAGTGAACTATTCGTTCCTTAGTTAAACCAATATGGATACTCAATGACATTATAACTTATCATTGATTTAATCAATTTGTTGCGCTTTCGATCTTATCAGTGTCTTATTCAGACGAGATTTACCAAATAGGCAGTAGTAGCTTTCAACTGATCTTCCACCTCTTTCTATGTTTTTTTTATCAATGAAACTGTATCCAATTTGTGTTCTTATGCCTTTTATATGGCACGAGCAAGGTTGAAATTAGTAATGCCATACACATTTTTTGAATCCCTTTCATATATTTCTTCTACGTCGGAGCAGCCTCCTTTAGCATCTTCATTAAACACTTTCCCATACTACTAAGCACAATTTGTTAAAATATGTATACAGTTTTGACAGCCAACCGCTGCTATATTAGGAAGACAGCATGCAGTTTGAAACAAATCTCCTAATTTCTCAGCCCTCAGAGCACTTTTATGTTTATTCCAATTTATTAAATTCTGGGACGTAGTGGCAAGACCTTAAGTTTAAATAAAATTTCAAACAGTTACTACATATCACTTAGCTCAATAAACAATCCAGCAGATAACAATCATGTGCTTTACCAAAGAGGTGGCATAAAAACATTAACACAGTCAAATCGCCCTTCCCACCTGTTGGTTGCTGGAGGAACTTTCAATCATTATTGGGTCCATTGGCTAGGCGAACAAATTAAAAATTTGTGCACTCCAACTTAACCGAGACATAGCGAAAGCCCCTGCTTCCACTGTCCATACATTCTGGAACGGTGAAATGCTCACTCTACGGGCTTAATTAGCTTCCATGATAACAGCTAAAGCAACTTAGTTTCAGGTTTTACATGTACTTATATAAGTGAATAAAGTGAAGCAAACAATATATCAGGAAGGTAAATCCCGTGCCAAGGAAGAAAATGTGTGGGGACACAATGAGTTCATATAGTCTTAGGTGAGTTGTTGCAAGGGAATTAGAATAGACAAAAACACTGGGCGGGCCCTGGAATGAGAAAAGCGGAGTAAAAGGGAGGGGGAGGGAGGGAGGTTCTACCTCCGGCTGACACGATGCATGAGAAGAACTGACGAAAAATGCAAGATGATGGGGGGGGGGGGAGGGGAGGAAGGAGTGCTGGAAAAATATGATTGTGACGAACACGTCCAAGAGCTATGCTGTACTTTATTGTCCGATCGGAAAATCATTCGATCCACACAAAGAATGAATGCAGGCATTTCACTAAAAAAAGGATAAAGCATAAAGAAAATTTTAGCTTATTTAAAAGCACTTTCTTCCCCACCAGAAACACTTTCGGTGGTCTTTATAGCAGATTCCCTTATCAGATCAACGTTTATACTCATAAAACAGCCCAACACAGACTGAAAATAGTTAGTATTAATTCATAAGATAGTCACCAACAGTCTCAACTTAAACTAATTGCAGCTTGATATTGTGAAAATTTCACTTATGAGGCAAAATCCCCCAAAATTAAACTTGTTCAAAAAATTAAGTCAGTTGAAATTGACAATTGGCCTAAATATATAAATAACTGCTAACGAGATGCTCCAGCATGTAAATATCATTAAGACCTAACAAATTGCTCATATAGTCATTTCATGATAGTTCTCAACTATCTTAGTACTGTATCAGTAAATTCAGATTAGCTAGATGGTAAAAGGTTGATTCAATTTGATAAACCTAAGCCACCGAACCAACTTGAATTTACTTAGATTAATCCGCCATCTGTGCCCCACTAATTTCCTACAAACCCTTAAATCACCTTGGCGGCCGTTTGTCGAGGCAGACGCGAGGGCATTCTGATGCCAGTTGTGGGAGTGGGGATTGAGCGAGGTGTGGAGACAAGATTTGTGGAAGAACTATTGGCACTGTCATGTCTCGAATTGCTTGTTGGAATGGAGGACCGTGAGAGTCGAGTTCGTGGCGAGGGCAAACCTTCAACAATAACTGATGGTGGACGGATATTTGACGTTGGTTTGGGACTGACAGCTGCTGGTGATGATGCAGTTGGAGTAGGCAGTACTGGTGCAACGGTTCTTAATGGTGTACTTGGAGACGAGACGGCTGAGTTCTAGGGGAGAACGAAATGAACACGTCAACGATAAATTCCACCTTTAAGAATAAAATCTAAGTACTTAAATAGAGGGATTAACTTTACAATCGTTGAAAGGATTTCGATTAACAGATACACGGTGATTACGACACTTATTGAAGCATTGGTATTCAGATTATAAATAATTTAAAAACAACCTCCTATTTTTAACAAATGAAGAAATATCAACTGTTAAAATAAGTACCTGGATTATCAAGGGCGTAGAGGTCATAGAAACATCATTTCCATTATTTTGAGCCTCCCTTTCATTTTGGCTCGACTTTCCAAGAGAAGATTGGGAGGAAGTGAGAGAAGAGGCATTGCCACCCTTGTACATCTTAATACCGGGCTTATTGACCACCACTCTGGGACCCACCAGGCCTGAAGTACGTCGAGTTTGTGTTGAAGGCGTTGGAGTTGGAGGTGATGACGCGGTTATGGACCCTGATGAAGATAAGACTGAAAATCCATTCTGATTAGCATTCGGCGTAGTGGGAGCGCCCAGTGATGAATGCACAATTGCTGAGGTGGCATCTGTAGACTTTTTAGATCGTTCACTTTCCGGTGGTTCTACAGCACAAATATTGTAATAAGATAAATAACCTGAAAGCGAATTCAGATATCAACTAAAACTTAGTGACCTTCGCGCTCTGTGCCTGTCTCTACATTTCCATTACCGGTTCACACTCTAGTGAGGGATAGTGGAATATTCTTTCCTCATTTAAAACCGAATAATGGTCGAATTCTAGAGACGATGTACTCTTATATACTCCAGAATTGGAGTCCATGGCACTTATGAGTAAGTGAATAAAAAATAGTTTCAAAAGAGTCGGTAAGCAACTCCGATTCCATTCATATCACTAAATAATTACTCAAGATAGAAGGCCAATTGTCAGTGCATTTTAGATAATCATATAAAATTATATTGCAATACTAGAAAATATTCTCTGTTCAAACTGATAAGGCTGTAAACATCTCTCTGAAAAACGAGCATTCGTTTTGCGACCTATATGGTGGCGCACTTCAACATAAATAAATTAACAACACTTGGAAATATTATTATACCAAGGAAGAGGGGCATTGACTTCTAGAAACTACTCAAGGTGAGAATCACTTAGGACTTTAGGGCTTGGCACAAATCTAACAACGACCCCTTTAAAGCAATTTCAGGGGAAGGGCATTTCTATAACTCAGAACTCAGTTAGTCAATAACAGAAAAAGAAAGAGTGAAAACAGATAACAAACACACACAATGAGAATAAACATTAAGCAAATATATTCAAATCAAGAATCTCTCATACTGGGTGAGTCACGATTCTTTCTTGGTGTTATTTTGGGAGCTATTGCCACAGACGCTTGTTTAGTGAATATAATAGAGAAATAGGATTTAGTGATTTCATTTATAATTAAGGAAACGTGGAAACAAACGCGAAGAGAGTAACAATGCCGAAGATAACAATAATACCATAATTAAATCCTGAAGGCTGACGATGAAGACGCGATACATTTGCATTAGTTTCTGAATAAGGCATTGATAAACACGATAGGTTAATGAGCATGCGATAGTATTAGCAAGTACGAATGTTTGCTCACCGATCAACAAGTCAAAAATCGAATTTTAACTGCCAATAGTTCATTTACTAATAATGACAATGAAATGGAGAATAAATAACGCAATTAAAATTGCCACAGGAAAATTTTCACTAGTATTTTCACCTTACTAGTTAGTAATATTATCATAAATAATGTAGAAGCTGCATGGATAATACAGTTAATTCTGAATGCTGTGAATGAAACAAAAGATTTCCTTTAGTTTTTTTTAAAGTTTAGTCAATAGAATATGGATTCTCGGACCTAAACACAACAGCTTGTAGATATGTCGACTAAACGTGATCGTTTTAGGCAAAGCAGACATGAACTATTTAAGGCCTTTCCGTTGGAAGAAAAACATTGCATTCGAATACGCTGACAAAAAAATAATATAGATAAAATCGATTTACGAAAAGCGACGTTTGTAATTGAAATACCTCGTTCAGGAATTGAAGTTCTGCCTTTCCTAGGACTTCTAAGTGAATTTGATGACACCGGCGACTCTTATAGATTCAATAAAAAGAATTGCAATATTAGCAAAATAATTAAGAAGATATTACTTGAAATAAATTGGCTTTTCCCTTGACAACAACTATACCAACTATTAATAGCAAAAATAATTGGACAATTTTGTAACAACCAAGAACTGAACAAACCAACCATCTTTGGCACAAGAGTTATTTCTATTGCGTGACGCCCCAAATTTGGCGAAAAGCTGGGATGGATCTAAGGAAAACGTCGTCAGATTGCACACAAATGAGCATATGGACGAAACGGGACATGGAATGGGAGGAATAATTCGACACTTTAATTTAATCTTACAAATAAGAATACTTTAAGTACCTGACACCTTAAGCGAGGTCTTGGTAGGCAGTACTTTGTTAGTCAATCGGTCTAGGAGGAAGCAATCCTCTAGATTTGAATTATTTTTACCTTAAAAAGGCATCCAGTTCTTACCTCCATTACAATTATGATTTAATTGTGGGGACGTGGAATGAATGTGCGATTCTAGTGAAGGGTATAAGGAATCGAACCGAAATATCAGATCCAAAAAAATTAAACTGAGGTAACATATGGAAACATTAAAAAAATTCGTTAACAATAGAGGAAAAAATGAAGATATTCGGAACCATACCTGAAACATCTGATTCTAAGAGGAAAAAATGCTTCGAAGAGACGCTTGGGAAGAGAGGTAAAGGAAGTGGACCTTTTACTATAAATCCCAAAGTAAGAATTCAGTAAGTTACTTGATGAAAGCAACAACGAAACACAACAAAAATCGAAATGGAACAGAGAATTGGAGGTACACAAGAGGAGTATGGCACAGACCTCAAAGAGCGAGTTAAACCCCAAACAGACAAATAGAACGAAAAATCTGCAAATAAACATAGAAATCGGGAAGTCTACCTTTCGCATTCCTACCGTAGCCGTAAAGGACTGACGAAATTACATCAATGAACCCTTTTGATGGATAAAGCATAAGCTAAACGGTAGCCATTCGAACTGAATACGAAGACAATAGTAGCTAATACTCACCTGTCTCACTCTCCGGCTTACTTTGCTTTTCTGGACTCCTCACCGGAGTGACGGGTGTAACTAAAATAGAAAAAATAATAATAAACAAATTAATGCGAATGGTAATGAATGACAATAAAATTTAACTTATAAAACTGTAATCGTTTAACAATATAGCAAATGGAGTCAAATTAGAACATATTTATCATTTTACCCGCTGCATTCGTATTTGAGCCATAGAGAGCTATTTGAAATATATTGATTAAGTTGAATAAATAAACTTTCAAAATTCGTTAAATTCCAAATAGAATATGCCTTCAGATATTCATATTCACTCATCTTACGGAATTTCAAATGTTATATTTCCGTTTACATAGTTATTTGCTTTTAGGACATACTCGCGCAGCAATTATAAATACAATATAAATTAGAATAAAATCAATTAATCCGCCAAATATAAGTAGAGGCTGTACATCCCAATATGAATATGAAGGTATAAGCAAAGACCTTGATTTTGCACCTTTTAAAGGATAAAGAACTGTCATATTCAATGTTTTCGCGAGATTCTAATAAATAGCATTGAAAGATATTGACCTCTAAACGCTTATCTTTATGTGGGAATACTATAATGACCCCAAAGTGCAAAAATAGGAAAATGTGCGTCATCGAAACAATAAAAGACGGCTAAAAACTGTCATTTATAACTCTAAATCACGGAATTAATAATGGCTTTGTATAAATATTGTTAGAAGATCTATTAAGAACAATGCAACTTCCGAATAGATCAGCATGTTAGTTGTGGGCGCACATATAATATTATTAGAAATGGTTAATGACTAGATTATAAGATATGGATTTACTTTTCACTTATACTGATCAAATTATTAAGCGTAAATCCGATGGAAAAGTACGACACGAAGTTGCATCACTCATAAATTCTCCCATATCACTCCAGACTAGAAAATAGAATTCTAAGAAGGCTAATCTTTCATCCACTCACCAGTTAACACCCTAGATTCCAAATTTTCCTCAGATGGGGATGAAGACGGTGAATGAAAAGTACCCATCATGGCTTTTGCTGGATTTCGAGGAAGTGGAATACTTGATCGAGGAGTCATTGTCACCTTTCCTCCACTAGAATTCGATGTCAAATATTGTTCCTGTGTTGATACCTCGACTGTACCATCAACGACCTCTGCATTTCCTCCATTCGTCAGCCTACAAAAGTAAAATAAACACCGCCCTATAGATTTCATTTTTGTGACACCAATTGGCTACCCCTTTATGCATTAAAAAGAAGTGTGGCGTATAGGGTACATCAAAAGATCAAATTATATCGATAAAGTGCATTTTAGTAGTTACTCAAGTGAAGAAGTTTCGCCACCACGATTTGATGAAACTTGAGTAAAATTTATTGGTGTAGTGAATTTGGGAAATTGATTTCGTTGGAGGGATACCTCCAAAGGAGGGAAGCATTGTGCTTACACTCGGAGCTGTTTAATTTGGGCGAGGCTTATCGATTGAATTTAAGTGAAATGAATGCAGCAATTCATTAAATAAAAATGTGCCACTGATGTTCATAAGTAGCGATAACATATTATAAATAAGTAAAAATTACCTTTTAGGATCATGTGTGGAGTTGACATGATTGGAAAAGTTTGGCGGAGAAGCAGATAAAGTAAAAGTGCCAACAGAGGTTTTTACGGGTTCAACTGTTCCACAGTTTTGACTAAGTGTTTCCGAATAAGTAGATGACGAGACATGAGGAGCTTTTCTAAAGAATACAATAAATGTCGTATTAACAATTAGGCCCAAGAAGATGAAACAAGATCAACAAGAAGGTCACCACTACAAGTAAAAAAAACTACAAAAAACAGGCAATTCAAGGAGTTTTTGAAGTCTAGTAAAATTAACTAAAAAAACCAAAATGAATATCTAATGAGGTCAACACGTTAGAAACACAATATTCCTAAATACATAAAAGAAAAAAACACATGAGCTTTGGTTAAGTACCAGAAAAAAAAGTGAGTGAGAAAGCTAAGCCATTCCGTTAGGCAGCAAATTAAATTATTCACCTAACGCGTTAGGACAAAAAGCACAAACAGAGCAAAACTAAGTGTGGTATCATTTACAAAACTGCGCTAGAGTAATCCGATTTCTACTTCACTCGAAATATGCACGATCCGTAAAACAATTCAGCAAGGTTTTAGATGCATTTAAAGCAACAAGTCACAATACTCAAATTATGTGAAAACTGTGGTAAGACTCTGGAAAGATTTAAAAGCCCTCAATATTTAGAAATGCGTCAAAATTTCAACTATTGGTACAACAAAGATAGCTTTTATCCGGGTTTGAAGCCAACATTTCCACATCCATTGTCTTAGTAACCTGTAATTTGCACTTTAATGCTTCGATTCATCAAAAATTAATTTATCTGGTGTATGGGATAACCAATAGCCTAATGAAATTAAAATGGAAGAAATAGGAATGAAGGATTAATTTTAGAGCCTTGATGAAAAATATCCCTTTGGTCGGCACTAATCTTAAAAACTCAGGTCTATAAATATTTACGAATCAAATTGCATTGCTGAATTATATTGCTGGATGATTAAGAAGTCAATCAGCTGCATGATCTATATACACGACAAAATATTTTGACGTGAGAGCCTACTCCTAGTGCCCTTCTGCATCAGAAGCACCCTCATCTCGTAGAATCAAAAGATTAACACATTTAATGCAGTGAACCCATTTCAAAGACGCCAAGAATGAAAAAAAAGCAACTGTTAAAAACAGAGAAAAGCGGAAAAAGATTGACAGAGGGGATGAAAAGGCATGCGCGTTACCACTCATTCACTTAAAGTATATACTGTCAATCACATACAAACGACGCCCTCTTTGAAAATCGATTTCCCATTAAATCTTCTCTACTTGAAGCATAAATACACCGTCATTTGCAAATAAATCCAACCAAGAGAAACACAATATTCGCAACAGCAAAAAATAACGCGTTATATTTCCATTAATCGTATTGGTACAAAAATAGCAGGGAGTAGATTTACTGCAGATGAATATAGATTCCATTTTATGTCTTATCAAAGGCGGGAATTATGATACTTGGCATGCACATGACATGAACAATATTACTCAGCAAAAAGCGACAGGCAAAGAGTACACTTTAAACTAGCAATTCAAGATTGTGAAGACATGAAGTCCGAAGGAAATATAGGGACCACTTAGTTACTAATACAACGTGCGCAACGCAACTCACCACTGGTTACGGCACTTACAGTATACAAAAAAACAAGGTTCAAAAATATTAAATAAAAAGTGCCCAGGGGTAAGAGAATGCGCATTTTCACTGTAATCCTAATTCATTCACCAATTGCATTAAAATTCGCCTTATTCATTTGTGTAATTAAGTGAACATTTTTCGTTTCATAAAAGCAAACAAAACACGAAAGCACAGGCAGAGTTAAGCAATAAAACATGCTCAAACAAGACCTACTGAATATATGTATATGTATATATATCATACGCAGAACGCACATTCATTGCACGAAGACTGGTGGCTTTAATGGAAATAAAGATGATTGAAATTTTCTCATGCATAGGTGGTTCATTCAGATCCAATCACACCAATGGCCATATCCATCTCAGAGAAGTGTACTTGATAAAGACATACTGATATTCCAAATAAGTTTAAAAAACACTAAAGAAAAGTCCAAATTACAACATTCCTTTATAAGTGAGGTATGGCGTAGGCATATCATGCTAAGTTAGGCCATGGAAGAGAACAAAGAAAACTCTATGAGCGAATAAAGGCTTAGGATATCATGCACAAAAATAGTCAAGGCAAATTAGGATTGAAAAATAGTTTCCACAAAAAATCCGAAATATTAAGAACTTCACATGCGTCTTTACTCTTGACCATACCAAAAACAATAAAAAATCTGTCTATATAAAATTTTGATGTCAAACAGAAAGGCGTAGACTGGACCAAATGGATAGAAATATGCATCAGATAGTTTTCAATCATATAAACTGAAAATGACCAAGGTAGCAGTAGTAGCATAAAGCTCACTTAGATCAAATGCATTATTACCGCAACACATAGTTAACAAAAAAAGACAATAATAATGAGAATTCAGTCTGACCCTCATCCAGACTCCATCAGAAAACACCTATAGACCTGCCTAGTGTCTGCCAATTTGGGACCGTTCTTACTAGATAAACCTACGACACCAGTAGAGACATGAAAATATGCAAGAGAAAAAATTGAATAACAAAAACTTCTTGCATAGTAACCTTGATCAAGGTGATTTGCCAAAAAGTTGAAAACTACTTTTAAGGCGTTAGTGTTAGGTGGAATAAGGGAGACAAGCAGTGTGGCAAATGGCAATCAGTCAATTAATCAGTTAGATATTTCTCGTTTTCATCCAATTCTGGTCTCATCCTTAACAAAAAAAAGAGATAGGCAAATTAAACAATTCCGGAAAGAGAATCTAAGAGGCCTAGTAAAAGTAAAGTATTCAACGATAATTAATATTAATGATAAAAGGCAAACGCAACCTAAATACAGAAACGACTGGTTTACCTGAATGCCCCACGGCTTGGCCTTCTATTTGCCCCAGTTTTACTTTGAAACGCAAAGGCATAATTTAAACAAAAGATAAAACCGTCTTAATACATCACACTTTTAAGTAAACATGAATGTCAGTATCATTGCAAAACTCTAACCACTTCCAATTCCTCCTATTGATAAGCCTGTTAGCGACCAGGACCATTGGATACTGTACTTAAATTAATTTAAATTCGAGAGCAGATTTTGTAGTACTGGTTTAAACCTAAACCTATACAATGATTTTTTCAAAAAAAAACATGTAGATCCTTTATGTGGAATATGTTGCACCTTTTTTCAAACAACCCGGTTGACCTCGTTCAGTACTGGCTCATATCGCCTTCATTCCTATTTGCCTTCCCACTCCCCACCCCATTTCTAATCTCCGATTTTAAATCCCCAATTTAGACATGACTCATTGAACTTTGGCCATCCAACTCAAGAAAATTGTGCATGGAAGATCGTAAAGTAGCCTATTCTTCGAATTAGAACTACTTTGCCGGCAATCATATTAAAATGTGTCAAGTTAGAAAAATAAATAAATAGAAAATCAAATGATAACCACATTTTAACATACTCAACTACCACAGCATTCCCTTCATTGTTTGATCCAGAAGAGGAATGTCTGTCTACAAGCACAGTAGTGGATTCCACCTTAGCTTTAACGGTCTTCTGCGAAGAGGGTTCAATTGCTGGTGAAGACGTAGGAATAAGCTCAGTCTGAGATTGAGTTGCCTGTGGTGGAGGTTGGGCTAAATCAACGGGACGGTAATTTGGTTGTAGGCTATCATCGATCCCCACATCCACACCCTTCTTCTTTCCACCCATGCAGTTGAGTCTAGAGAAAATATTATATTGTCAATGAGGGTTTGTGCAGGACACAGGCTCACTTCAAAGAGATGATAGCTGCCTGTTGAGATAAAGATTAATCGATAACCCTGTAATGCAACTTTACAACTTTTTTTCTTGAGAAAAATAGCCTTAAAATTCTGAGAAGTTAAATAAAAGATCAATCTTAGGAATAGACACAAACAAACTGCATACATATTTGAAATTTTATCCTAGGATACGTCTAGCTTGCCCTAATGATGTTCAATATTTATCATCCATTTATAGCAAATCTTCGTTCAAGAACGGTAAGACGCCATAAGCCTAATTATAAGCGGGCATTCTGTGATAGGGAAAACAAAATCAAATAAACAAATTGCATTCCCAATTTTGGCAAAAACGTAACCTACCAAAATGCCATTCTCAATACCCTGAAAGACAGAGCTCAAACCGAGTCGGAAAAAAAGATACCACTAAGGTGGCACTCATTCAGCTACTACAATAATAAGTAAGCATACTACATTTTCATGGGCACAAGTTAGCTAAACAACTTCAATTTCCCAGACCTAGCTCATTCCAAGATGTGCTAGGACTATGAAATCAGCTGAGGCACTAATTCCTAGAACAATTGTTCTTCACTCCTATTCAAATTCAAATGGGTTCTAATTTGTCATTAGAAACAGCTCCTTGAAATTGTCAGGTGTTGCAGTAAGGAATTTTAAAAGCCCCAGTGGCGATGGGGAAATATTGGTAGCAAGTATACAATTGGACTGGATAGTTTAGACAAACGATTAAAAGGTGTATTTATGGCCAAACATGGGAAATAACTGGTTAAGTTATCCCAGTCATTTATAATCATTCAGCCAATTAAAAAAGGGAGTTAATTAAGGAAACAAGGCTAGGTCTTTTTGATGAGACGCAGTCAAAAGATTGAAGACAAAAATAATATCAAGCGAATTACTAATATATTTTTTAAGTAGATTGCAGTAACAAGTGAAGTAAGGCGAAAAGATTAACCATATGTGATACTTAGAAGTAAGCCATATGTCGCTTGCGTGGCGTATATGCAAGTAGTTTGAGGTCAATAAGATCTTAACTAAGTCCCTTAAGGTCTTTAGTTAATCAGGGTGATTTCAAATATTGGGAAACATGAGAAATAAGCCATTTTTCGAGAAAAAAAGCAGACGCTTAAAGAAAGATATTATTAGGCATACATGAAAAGATCGACTGCAAATGGCAATGATCTAGAAATAATGAAGATTTTAGAATTGTGTATGCGGTTGTTTTTCTGTGGCAAACAGACGAGATGCTCAGCTATGGCAATAAACACAATTGATGAAAAACAAATAACCACAAGTCAATAAAGTTCCTTAAATGATTAGGGATAAGCACAATATATCGCTCAACAATAAGTTCACTCCAAATGAAAGTGAACCCTGCCCCACTATTTGGCAAGTTTGTAGCTTTTCAATACCTAATAAGATCTGTCAGCAGTAAGACAACAACTTCAACAACCACACAAGAAATGATCCCGAATTATTAATAACTTAATCTCTGTTTATTACATACAACTCTATAAGTGTTTAGACGCAAGCAACCTGGCAAACGTCAAAGTGGGCCTATGACAACACCATAAACACAAAAAAACAAACTAAGAACACATCTCGAGCAATTCAATTCTTGCACACGTTGGCAAAAGGTTCTGACCACCATTCGTTTTACGAAGTACTACAAAGACTATTCTTTAAAAAGCAGTGATGGCATAATGTAACTATTCGTGTAACAAAATACATTAATTTTAAAGAAAAAAATGATTAGAAATGGGAGACATTAAAAATCACTAAGTACATGAACTGACACGCTAATGAAGGACCTAACATACGTCACTGTAATGAGGACAACCAAGAGGCCACAAATGCGAGGTCAATACACCACTAAGTATGGCAACGATGGTCACTTACCCACATAAACTAAATCCCTTCTTTTTCGTAGTCGTCGTTTTCTTCTTCTCTTTGGTTATTCCATTTGCTAACATTTGAGCAGCTGGAACAGCAGTCAGTTCAGCGCTTGTATCTCCTTGTGGAGGAACTTTAATTTTCTCTGCATTTGGAGCGGGATGATTTTCACTTGCCAAAGCCATTGCACGAACGGAAAGAATTTGATAGACCAATTTATTAGCAGAATTGCTATCCTCAGCGAAGACAGTGATTGTATAATGGTACTTAGCTTCAAAAACTATTGATGTTGGTATAGAGTCTGCTCGGCTTAATCTTCGACGCTTGGCGTCATTTAAATTCTCCGGTCTTTTCGAATTTAATACGTCAAGTAGAAGGTCAGAGAGTTGGGGCTACGCATAAAAAAAGATCGCTTATCAAGTTGGAGAAAGAGAGCAGAAAACACGTGCTTCCCCGCGCGCTATGTGTTAGTATGGTTCATTCTCAGTACAGGCACTTCAATATCAAGCGAAAGCAAGTAGGTGCGTTGGTTCGTGTGCGTGAGGGTTGGAGTCAACCAATCACATGAAAGTGATTGACTAAGTCATGACGCATAAGCTCGCATCGGACACGTGCACGCCGTAATTTTAAACGCGGCCAGTCGGAAATCTCACGATCGTGCAAATGAATTAGGATTAGGGGGCCGGGAGATTCAATTTCACGTCAAAAATCCCATATCCATAAGTGGTTAAAGTATAATTAAACTAAATGTACATTCTTGGGTAAACTATCAGCAAAATCTAATTCCAGTTTGAGCAGTATTGATGGTCAAAAAGAAATAATAAATCCCAATTAGTCCAAGATGAATAATCATTGCAAGATTAAATAAGTAACTCCCAATAGCCATTGATGCCCACTTGCTAAATAAACTCCGTTCTAAACAAAGTTAAAGTTAGGCCAGTGTATGGATTACCGCCTCAGAAAGTCATAAGGCAGGACTTATGTTGATAAGTACATTTACTCAGGCCTCAAGGAAAGAGCGAGACTTTCCAAACCCCATAATACCTAATTTTGAAAGAGAATACTCCTTAAACTTCAAAACAGAGGTCTACGATGAACGTTGGTATACAATCTGTGATTGAAATGAACAGATGCTCGAACAAGTTTATAAATTGCAGAGGCTGAAAGGTGCCAAACGTTGGCACCCAGATAAACGGCCGTTTGAAAGGCATGAAAGGTTGTCGTATGTATTTCAACTTGCAAGGAATTAAAAATGGCTATATTTTCTCAGTAACTTACCCGATCATCTGTAATCAACCAAGGCATACGAATTTCCTTCTTTGTAGACTTTGGTACTCCAATTTCCTGCCTTTAAGCATTAAATCAAAAGTTGTATTAATACAATACAAGGTTTCAATCAATTTACCATGGCCAAACTTTAATAGCTGGATCATAACCCGTCTCCTTGAATAAGGCCAGTTCAGTATCGCAAATACGTAGTCTATACACATCTCCAGATTTACCCTACAATACAAAAAGTGAATTGATAGTGCAGATGCAGTTATTAATAACAAAAGGATATAAAAAAACTGGTCAAAAGTGGCGTTTTGAAAGCATTAGGTAGCATTCTCAAAAATAACACCTGAAAATCTAAGCACGACCAAGGAAGCTACCCATTGAACTTCATAAACTATTTCCACATAACCCCAATTCCAGTTGTCCTAGTATTGCCCAAGTTATGCTTGTTCCCATGGTCACAAATAATGGAAGCTAAGATTCCTTTGTCGTTTTAAATTACTCATAGCTTGAGAGACGCCAACTCCTACATATAAGATTAAGAGTTGGGTTGATTTAATACCGGTTTTCTTCTATGAACTCGTCCATATCAATAATTGCGGTGCTGCATTTTTAATACCATGACAGAAATTGCAAGGCAAAATTTACATTATTTGAAGTTTTCACCATAGCAACAACAAAACCCAAGTGAATGCATTAAATAAACACCATTTTGCAAAAGATCAAGTAGGACGGAGTAGAAAAATGAATTTTGTTGACTCAGAAATTCAAACAGCTAAAGCAATAAGGACGCACATGGAATAATAGCAATAGACACATAGATAAACGAATGATTCACAGAGTTGAAAATGCCAAAATGAACCATGATTTATATACTGCAACCTTGAACTGCATAATTAGGAGGAAATTAGGATCAAAGGAGGAGGGGATTAATCATCATCACATCTGTCGATTCACTGTACTTATGAGGCTATTGTAGTAGTTACCATGAAGAAATTAATTTTACAGGTGTATCTGAAAAGGAGCTAAGAAACTGAAGTGTAGAGGAAAGTAGATGAACTGCATATAGGATAGGAAATGGTAAATCAAACTAGTTGAATGTAAAACAACCTCAAATGGAGGTAAAATATGTGTAATCATAGATCTTCATTGAGAAAATGGCCAAGGAAGGTAGATTCAGGCAAATACCCTAGTTGCCTTGGCTATGATAGACAGTAATAAATGCTCAAAAGGTAAAACCCCTACCTAAAAAAGTAGTCATCATAAAGAAGATTGAAAATTCCACGAGGTGGAGTGCTTAGAACCTTACATTCACGCTTACATGGGAATCACTAGAAATAACACCTTTATCAAATTGCCAATGTAATCAAAAATGGAAAATTATTCCAGACCGTTTTAATGAAGAAATCGTGACAAGGAGAGGTTAATAAACATGAGTAAATGCATAATAGCGCGGAGGTGAGAATAACATGCAAAGAGATTTTAGACTGGAAAGCTTGCTTTAGTTACCAAAAATGACCCCAAGGCAGTCTATCTGACTATAGAAGGACATCAATAATAATAACAATAAGTGCATCTTAAAAAGAAATTTTAATAATAAGGTCAAATACATGACATAAAAGTATCAATGCTACATTTTCGGACATTTCAAGTCTCACAGGTGAACAAAGAAGACATCACGTAGGCGTTCATCGTTCTTAGTCTGGCAAGTCCAGACAGACAAGTCAAAACCGTAAAATAAAATTATAAAAATGAAGCTGTAGAAAAGTTGCATGTTTCGAAGTGCTCAAGAGTTACCTTTCCTTCTCCAGGATAAAACTAAGGCATAATTTTAATTACCTTTACTAATGACTAAACAAACAGAGAATACGAAAGGCAGTAAAACCACCTCTAGAAAGGATTATAAGTGGTGGTAAAAAATCACATCATACATTTAAGATATCGTGGAGAATAAAAGGTAAGCTATCAAGGTCAAATAATGACAAAACTGCATAAATAAGGAATAAACAACAAAACTGACAGCGATTGCCTTCACTTACTGACCCCAAATATGAGATGGATGAGTGGTCACGTCTAGTGGCAACGTCAAAAACAAAATAAACAAGTTGGTCAACGTTAAAACTTGGAGGAAGAGAAGACGTGTGCTCATTGATGAACACTTCCTAATCTAGTGTCTTAAAAAAGCACATATGGAGACAATGGAGAAATTAGGGTAACTAGAAAGAAACATTCTACTAAAAAAATTATAAATGAAATCGCCCATATCGTGTGAAAAACTAGAAATTCAAATCAAATTTATAAAAAAAAACAAAATGGTTGCTAAGCGGAACAAATTGTTCCAAACACACACATATACACACACACTCCCCTCCACAAACACGCACACAATATGCTTTTGGAACGCAAGCAAATTGAGCCATGCTATGGCGTCGCCACCACACCAAAAGGAGAATATAAGAGCAAAAATAAAACGACAAAACAGAAACTTCCAGTAACAACAAGTGTTTCCTCAAAGACCCGAAAATTGACTGCATGATAATAGTTGGAAATGTCCAATAGCCAGTGTCCTTTCACAGCAAATAAAAAGGGGGTAGGATTAGAAGAGGAATATGGGAGTTAAGTAAAATAATAACAACACGTGTGCTAATAAAGGGCGAACAAATAGCCAGCAAAAAGAAACAATGAATACGCATATGCTATTGCCCATGCGCAAAAAATGTAGCAATGAATATTTCTGTAATGCCTAAGCTAACAAAGAGGAGGGACATGCCTCATCATTAATAAGTATTGAATAAATGATGTATTTAGGAAGGAAAAAATTAAATTAATAAATTACTGGTAATTTTGCATGCTTATTCAAATGTGACAATTTATATAGTCGTTGCTATTAGGATTTTGAGTAAATCACAGAAGTTTGGTTAATTTCGCGTAATTACAGAGATTGGAGGATTGCAGCTATTTGAAAAAAAACTCATAAGGCATGCATATAATTTACAACACCTGATGCTTTTAGAAATGTTAAAAACTCAAGAAAAAAAGCAAATTTTGAGATTCTTTACTGCATAATTGAGAGGTTACACGCAGAAATAAAGCCTCCGTCTGCAAAAATAACGTTTATATATCCCAATGATGTACATTTTTACCCACATTGCTACAACTTCCTATCTGTCTAAACAAACTAACCTCTATCTGCATTGTACTTTCTGGTAGCCGTCAATGTGATGGGAAAACGGAAAAGTGGCCTGAGAATAAAACCATTAGGACTGTCACAAAAGATACCATCATTAGCAGCATCCCTCAGATGCTAGTCAATTAGGGAGTACTAGCAGTTAACAGGGCCAAAATACCACTCAGCTCACAACTACCCGGTTATGGGGCCTTTTACAATTTTACACATTTAATCGACTCCTTATGTTAGAGATATTGATCGCGGAACTTAAATTCTGTTAACTCATATTTATAATTTTAATCTATCAATCTCATCACTTGATGCAAATCGATTAATATCGACCACCAGAACATTAGAAATATGCTTACTGATCTAGACACTAAAGAATTGTTTTCAATTTTTTATACTACTTAGTGCTTATCAGTAACAAATATTATACCTAGTCAGATAATACCAAACATCTATTGTAGTAATAAACTTCCATATTTGCTATCGTTAACCAGGAACAAGCTACGATTTCATGAGTAGGATCACGTTAGGCGCATAATCTCAGAAGAATAAGTTTCGCAGAATATACTATTTTGTTAACCCAATAGACAATTACAGAGACAGCATACCAGCATTACGTCATCATATAAACAATATTTGCATAATCAAACATCAACAGGATGAGAAAAATGATCAGTTAACTGCTAAATTGAACAATCGATAGTATTGTAGATTGAAGCCGGTCTGCATCAATGACATGAAATATCATGCAATGAAGAGATCCTAACCCTAATCACTCTTACAATTGAGTCAGAAACCAAGGCAAACAACTATGAAAGATCTCAAGCTTAACAAAGGAGGAAAGATCACACGAATGAAGGAAAATTCCGCGTGAATAGGGAAATATAGGACAAACCTCTACAATGAAAGGTGAACTTTTTTAATTTAGTCAAATGATTGGAAGCAGGATTGCAATACGTACTTTCGAATCACAAATTATACTTGTGATGGAGTTTTTTCCCTATCAGTTAAAAAAATATATTGGGGGAGAAACAGAGAGGATGATGGATAGCTGAGTGATAAAAAAACCGATGAAGAAACAGGCGAGTTCTTATTCAGTTAACTGAAGCTCATACAATGTAGAAACATTGGTTTACGGGCTATAATAAGATATGGCTTACATTTTAAGTGAAACATCATAAAAGAGAACTAATAATGACTGCGGTTGATAAATGTTACGATTGAGCAATGATGAACAATCCACACATTCATATTCTAAGCCAAGTGGAACGCCTTTGCTAGACCCTCTCAGTGATATCCATCAAGGATACAAGCGACTTTCTGGGGACAACAGAATATCCAAAAGTTCAATGAATATTTACATAAATAGGGACGGCAAGAAGAAATAACTAATAAGAGAACTCTGTTGACACTAAGCTACCGAAAATGTGAACAATCATGTAAGTGGGGCGAATAGCCGAATTTAGCAAACTTTAGAAAACGAATGGTATATACCAAGCAGAGAAAAGTAACACTGATTTCTAGGTTTCCTATAAGCTCCTGCTTATTTTAAGACACTTGGAGTTATAAAAATTAGCAATGGTGTAACAGTATAATATGCCATCAAAAATCCAACTTAAATAGTACTGTAACAACATTGATCCCTTCCTTATTCTTTCAGATGTATTAGATGTTGCCCAGATAGAGAAACGCAAAAAATACTTGATCGAAAGCGAGTATTACCAAGGCCTAAATTATTGAGACATTTTGAAGCAAAATACCTCATTGCCACAAAATGAAGATGGATTCGTTCAGATCAGTTCAATCAGATGTGGTCACATTTACCGTTAAGAAACAGAAAACGCACAAGGGATGCAAACAGATAAAGCAATACGTATAGTGACATGAACCATGATAACAGTGTGGTGTTAGAACTATTGATTGATCAGCGAACGTTCAACGAAATATGATAAGGTTGTAGTTAATAAAGATAAGGATTACGAAGGTTTATTTCAGCTAAATGAAGAATAACAGATCTTTACCATTTTATTATAAATAATAGAAAGTCATTAATTTAGTAAACGTTTAGTGAACATGAAAAGAACCGAATCAGTTAAAAAAAGTTGAACAAAAACCAAGATAAAATTTCTCAAGCCCCAATAAGTAACGAAAGAAAGACACAATTGATAAATGAAGTGGCCACTAGTTTAAAAACACCGAACCTTCACTTAAAATGGCGACGAATGTTTTTGTCAGACACCTAGAGAAGTGATTAACCATATAACTAGATTCCAAAAGATCTCATTCCAATTGTATGAGTACGAAAATCAAGCTCTAAACAACACTGTTCTCATACAGCAATGATTACTAAGCATATCTACAAAAAAATGCAAGTATTTGAGACGACACTAAGTTAACATTACCTGAAAAATGTGAATAAGGAAAATATGCCAAGAGAAAATCATTCCAGTTAGTATAAGGAAGCGAGAAAGGGAGGAGAGAACAGTAGAATGAGTCAGAGGAGAAAAAAGAGGAACCTCTCCGAAAACTCCACATTCAGGCGCGCACACGTAGGTTAGAGGGAGACAGCATAGAGGAGAGCATGAGTCATAGGGAGTGATGAGTATTTTAGTGGAAATTCAAAAAGGGAGAGGGCACAAACGACGATTGTAGCTAGCACTATGCGACCAAACGCAAGAGTAATTTGTGATTTCAGGATCAGAAAGCGAATGAAAATTGGCACAAAGTACGATGGGAGCTTAATACCGTTCGGGTAAAGCAATGACAAGACTGGCGAAATGCCAAACTAAGGATAGCATTTAAGCCTCCTTCAGGAATGCAGTCACTGCAATGCCTAAGTAAAATAATCGTGGCATTGGACACACGCAACAAAGTGTACATAGCAGATCGATTAAATAAGCCCACTTCGAAATGATAACACTTGGGGAATTTAAGAAGATCGGACTCCTAAGTAGTTTAGGTTTAGCATCTCATTAGATACTATAAGGGAACTCTTCACAAGAATTTATCGAATATTTTAGGAAACATTTCCCCCACAAACTGCAGCAGGAATTTCAATAAATAAATGGCCAATAAAGAATATCGTGTCTTATTCTTAGGAAGCAGCATTTATAAAACGATGACCGCAATCAAGAGAAAATTGAGAATGAAAAGTAGTCTAAAAAAACTTAAACTATTTTCCAATATTAACAGAAAGTTCTTCGCAGAGATAGATACAAGATAATAGATATCAAATAAAAGAAAATTTTAGAAATAACTCACTTTAACAAAAGCCCAAAGACAGCGTATTTCAGGTTCAGCAATGAGAGATTTTAGAAACTGCGTTACTGAAATGTTTGAAGCCAAAATGGTATCGCTGATATAAAAAAACAAATATTTACATTAAATTCAACCAAGCGCAAAGAAAAAGAAAATAAAAAACCCACACTTGACGTTGGGATTCGAAATTTAAAGCCTTCGACGTTTCGTCTGTAAGTTGAGGAAAAATCGAAAGATAAAAGTGAATACCTGATTAAAAACGGTCATATAATGCGAGCATACTTGCTGCCATAAAATTTCTCATAAGTTTAATCTCCTTAAGATAACTCTTATTGGCATAAGTGTATTTGTTTTTCAAATAAGCTCTTAGAGCGGCGAACAAAAGAAGTCGACTGAACAAAAAACTGATTAAATAAATTGGAAATTACTTTGTACGAGGAGAATTAAAACCAACAAGTGACGAAGGCAACACAGGAACAACAAGTTCAAGGGTTCGTGCATCCTCGCCCTAGAAAGTAATACTATAAAACATATAATGTACTGGTTCAAGCATAAAGCAGAAACGATCTTCACTTATGCTAGCTGTCAAGAAAGCGGCATTTAAGCATTGTTCATACCGTTCCGTATTCTAAGAGATTAAATTTGGTAAATAAAATACCTTGTAAAGTGGATAAATTAAAGCCTCGGTAAATGGAACATCACAGTGCATACGATCAGGTAGCATAAGCCTGAAATATGATGAGTTTAACTGAGAGCCGACAAAGGCCATGTTTAATGAGTTTGTAAAGGTAACTCTTCTAAATATCGCGAATCCAAGGGATGTGCGCGAATACAAATGTACGTTTTCCTGTTTTGGATACAGCGCATTATTTTGAGGTCAGATTAAAATTCAATCAAAATTAAATATTGAATTTAATTTTTAATTCTATTTACAAATAAATTTAAATAAATTTGATATTTCATATAAGCTAAATAATTTGGTTATATAGTTGACGCGCATATTTTGAGATATGTGAAAACACATTAACTTGTTCAATAACCTACATCTTATGGAGGCATTTTATTAGAGTACTAAACTAACCTTAATACGTTTGTTCCTGATGAATTATTTGTGCGATTTAATTTAAAATGAAAGTCACAGTTGCATTTGGTGAAATGAAGATTGTGGTTCCATGTGGTTCTGGTGATTTTTCTGTAAAAGATCTTGCTGCCAAAGCCGTTTACAGAATGAAACATTCTTTAAAATTTGTAAGTTTGGATGGTGATTTCTTTTACTTTATTTAGCAATAAATATTTTTGCCTGTTGTTTAAGTTGCGCGATTCTTCTGCCTAAATTCTTATTTTGTGAATGAATTCTATTTTTTCCTTTCACATTATTATCCATTTGTTATTTACAAAATCAAGGATAGTCCTTGATATTTTTCTATCAGTGGCTGTAGTGATTTTATCAAATTAATTGCACATCACTGAGCATCCTTGAGTTTCTTATTCTGCCACAATACGCTTTATTTTTTTCATTTTAGTCCTCGGATTTCGATAAAATTCTTATTCATAGCCTTTCAATTTCCCGTGATGGTGGAATACTAGATTGGGATGATCTTGTTTCAGATGTGCTGGACGACCGTGAACAGGTAGGCCAACTTATGCTCACCAAATCTATCAATGATACCTTACATAATTTCTACATTAACATTTTTGCTTTCATTTTCGATTATTTATAATCAATTTTTAGAGCCTTCCATTGCTTATTTCTGTGTTCAAATACAACAGTCATTTGGTATTTTTAGATACTATGCTTTAATCGCAAAACAGATTGGAAAATAAGTGTATTAAACTCTGTTTTGAAAATGCTTGTGCTATACTAAGACGCTTTCTCGGATCTTTTGCTTTTTACTTTGAACCCCTCTAAATTTTGCGACATAGTCCAGCTCTTGATTCCATTTATTTGATGATTTAAGCGTAAGTTTATGATTAATTTACTTTGGGTTTTCTAAGATTTTTAAAAACCAAGCTTTAATGTTATAAAAATCGAACTCTTGCATTATGCTTCTTTTCTATTTGATTTAGCTTTCCACAGAGGCTATCGAATTACATCTTAGGTAACTTGGGACCATATTTTAACCATGGAAGAAATCGAGCGTTTGAGTTGAAGAAGTTATTGCTCAAAAACAGTAATGATGTGTCACTTTGATCAAATGTCCCTCATAATTACGCTTTTAATTAAATGCCACTCTAGGAGGAACTGTGTTTGTCAATGTAATAATAGGCTATTCAGGTGAATCGACTTGGTATTTGTTTTATATAGACTACTATTACCTTTATATAGGACAACATTTTACTGCATGAAATTAACCCAAAAAATCCCTTTTATGTCTTAAATAAATTTAACCAATTATAACTCGATTTGACGAGATGTGCCTTCGTTACAATCGAAGGTTTTGAATACGCTGTTATCTCTCCTTCTCACTTTATGTAATGTACTACTTTTTACTTCCTTCTAACTCTACACTTAACTGAACCGGGCATCATATTTGAAGTATATTGTGACCAGAAATATAAAGATATGTGGGAATAACAAAAAAAAACAAGGTGGTTGAGGCTTTGTTACACGTACCAAAAGTGCGTATGTTGGCGCGCTTGCCCAGATGATTTCTCGGTTTGCAATCGATGGCCACTGCCAATTGGTCTACCCCATTCCCTACATCTAATGCTCACTATTACCGACGCACGTGTGCGCTCTTCATCCCCTCCTCTCCTAGTCTCCCTTTCCCCCTCCTCGTTGTCTGCGCTTCCATCCTGTTCTTATATTTAAGATATCACGAAAATAAAAATCAAACAGAAGTCTTTTAATTATCATGTACCTTAGCTTATCTGGTGCGACTATTTCTAAATTTTTAAATACTCCTGGTTAAATTGCGCTGGTTATTTTTTGATTATTTGAATAAATGGGGACATATTATGGAATCATGTGCCACTACCATTGAAAAATTAACAGGTATTTTCAATAAAAAACCAATAGAATTAGTTCGTTAGAGTATTCTACCTATTAATGCGCGTTTTATTTCTCAATTTTAGCTATCAAAATAGTATGTGATGTCATTGAAATTTCGCATGAGTGCTATAATTTGATTATTGTAGCACCTTCTAAAGGGTGGGGTGGGGGGGGGGGGGAAGGAGAGACTCCGTGATAAATATCGTCAATGGCACTGAATTGGTTGTCCTTAATGTAATATTTTCTATTTGAGAAATCTCCTTAAGCATAAGGCACAGTCTTAACAAAATTCACTTTCGTTCCTCGCATATTTTTATCTACGTCGAAATAATTTTACCTAAGAGAAAAAAATTGATTTTATTCATATCCTCTTTTTCGAGCTGATAGAACCTTAATTCCTGCCATTTACTAAGAAGACATGTTTTAAGAGTGCAATTCTATTTCACAATTAGATGAAATATACAGTTAGGATTGGTGGATAAAAATCAGTCCGGATTTAATTTAAGACCCATTATGACAAAGTGCTTTGGAGGAGGGGGAATGAAGAGTAGTAATATATGTTATCTTGGTTTCATTGTTGATAAACGGTGCACTTTATTGCCGAATAGAAAGTAAGATGCTTGCACTTTTTTGCGGTAATGGTCTAGTTCTTTGCTGTTATTTTTTTACCATCCATGAATAAGTAGCGCTGCAGTTGTTGTGAGTTGAATAATGAACAATATTAATTTGGTCAAAATTCAGAGAAACACGTAACGATATTGATTGTTTTCAGTGAGTTCTAGAATCTATAGAGGGCATTGAAACAACCATTTTATTCCTATGTGTTCATTGAAAGTGATTTAAAGAAAAGTGAATAATTGAAATGATCTCCTCAAGCAGTAATTGAGAGATTGCCGATGACCGTCACTTTTATGTCCTTTAGCTCGTCGCTCAATACTCCGTCGAATCCAGTCTCCCATGTTCGAACTTCTCCCCACCGAAGTTCCAACCAACTCCCAGCCTAGCTCCATTAATATTTGAGGTCTCTCGGATCCAGCGCTCCCATGTTACAGGTACGGGAAGTGGTGACCCAGATCCAATCAGTAGCGGTGGCAGTGTTCTGATAAGTCACATCCGTATTGGGCACAGTGGAGTTCATGCCACCGCAGACAGTTCAAGTAGCAGCCTGAGTCTGAGTTCTGGTAGTTTAGGAGGTGGTGGTCATCAACACCATCACCATCGAACTCCACGCAATCATCAAGATCTCTTCTCGTCTATTCGATATTCAAGAACTGCTGAATTGCCGGATCATCATTCTCAGCATCACCACCAACATCACCACTCACTTGCTCACCAGCAACCTCTAAACGAAATTGAGATTCCTCCACAGGGTAAGTAGGCAGCTATTAATAAGACATCTCCCTTCACACCCCAATAAATTCTAAGTGAACTTGGTTCGTCAAGTTATTTACCTTGTTTGTATATTAGTAATTAATGTTCAGTGTTTGTTTTTTATAGTTTTGAGGTTTCTTCGCTGTAGGAGGGGAGGAAGGCTTATAATTAATAGAATTGTATTCATTCTTTTCATGTGCTCAGTCATTACGCTTATTTATTTACGATTACATGAAGGTTCCGTTTTATGAACTAAATACTGAATTCTGCTTGGTATAATCCATAAAGTGCCAACTAATGATTCTATATTAATAAATTGTCAAAAGTATTCGGAAGCAGTGTGCAAGAAAACAAATCTCAATTTTTATACATAATTTTCCCCTTATTTTCACATTTGAAAGCTGTAATGATAGCATTTTGAGAAGCATAGTATTTAGTTATATCAAATGGCAGGCGTTTTGATGGTTATCATTAGCCCTTTGGTCGACTTCAGGCTTCACGGAGGAGAGGGAACATCAAAGCGAAAAAGTCGAGAGGGGGGGGGGCAGAAGAGTGTTTCAAAGACACAGGCAGAAAAAAGGTGAGGTGAGTACTGTGAAAGTGGTGCAATATGACGTACAGTGGGGTGATGGTAGTTTGAACTGAGAAGTCAACTTCCGGTTAATAGACTTTTTTGCCGTATGAGTATACGTTGCCCATGGTGCACCATGTAGGAGTAGGTCTTCGCACACCTCTTGAGTAGCATGGTTATATGTACATATATAAATCATACTCTCTTTGAGGCATACTTTACCATAGCAATTTTGCAGGTGAAATCAAATTATTTAGCCAATCCTACTCGATATATTGAAGTCTGCTTGTGAAAATACTAGAAAACTCATTATTCAACTTAAAGAATTTGATTCCCTTTTTTATTCATTGTACCGATTTATTTCAATTGAATTTATTGAAAATTATATTCTTTTCAATAGAACAGGTTTATGCTACAGACATAACTCTAATTGTAGAAAATGTTTACTTCGAAGGTACGAGCATTCGTTCTCCACTGAAGAAACTATGAAGTAACAATCTTCACCTAACTTATACCTTTATTACTAGCATTGATCAATTACCTTTCAGACAAACAGAATAGATATATCGAAAGCCTAATTAGTGGCTATCTTGCTAAGAATCATTTGAATCCTAATTATGTTTGAGAATGGGGGGTGTGTGATAGACTTACCTCCACGTGGTGCATCCTGGGCAACCCATACTCTTACGGCAAAAAAGTCTATTACCTGGCAGTTGACTTCAAACTACCATGACCCCACTGTATGTCATATTCGACTACTTTCACAGTACTCATCCCTCCTTTTTTCCACCTTATCTACCTTTGTCTTCGATACACTCTTCTGTCCCCCCCACCTTGAATTTTTTACACTTTGATGTTCCTTCCCCTCTGTGAAGACTGAAGTCAACTAAAGGGCTAATGATAACAATCAAAATGCCTGCCATTTGATATAATAATTATTATTATGTTTGAGAATGGTCTTACTAGTAGGTCATATTTAGTCTAGGTCACAAGAAGGATATTCTCTTCCTATGCTCTTGAAAATTGGGTGAATACTATATTTGTATCGCCTTTATGCATATTTACTGTCACCTTTCACGTTGTTTCCTTTTATGCTCCCTAATAGACGTGGGAAATCAGCAACTAGACCATCAATGAAAGTGAATGACGTTGGTGGGGGGGGGG